TTTTCAAATGAATATAATGATGACTGTAGTGAGGTTAATATGATGTGTCTGTTATCAAGTTATTTTGCTTCATAAGAAATACCATTAAAGAAATGAATCAGTATGGAAAAAAGTTCTTTGGATTATTCAAGACTGATTATCAGTAGTTTACCTCCAACACCATTGACTCCAACCTTTACCAACCTCAGACCATTTTTGTTATCCCTACCGCCGAGAAGTTTTCTTCAAAACTCTGCAATTTTATAGCTTCATCATATTTATCAATCTATATGATATGAGTTACAAAATTCCAAAATATTTAAAAAAAGAAATAAACAGCCATCCTTCAACTTTAAGTAATCTAAATATAAAGATAATTTTTCAGAGATCTGGAAAATATCCTAATGGTCAATCTCAGTGTAGGTCTTTCTTTTGCTCTAAAACAGGATCCATAACTCTGTTATCAGAACAATTTATTACAAAGTAACTGATATCAAATACTTTAATAGCCATTCTCGTGTCACCTTCCACAAAAACATGGGACAATAAAATGTAGAAATTGCATCATTATCAACATGATGTTTATTAACCATGTGAATATTTCATGAATGGAATAGATAAGCTTCAGAGATTTGAAAGGTTTATTGGCTCCTATTAAACGTTTATCAGGAATATTAAGCCATGTTATTTCCTGGAGTTATTTTTTAAATTATCAATATTTTTCAGTGAAAAATAAGCATGGTTATATTTTCTTCTCTAATGTTTAAAATGATTGGTGTAAATTTGTTAAAAGTAAAAATTTTCAATAATGATGAATTCCTGTCCAGAATGCATTAATTTCTTGAAAATAAGATTTATCTAAATGTATCTATTAATTGATATACATCTTGGCAATAATGATTTAATTATAGGCTGTTTAAGGGATGTTTTTCGTCCTTGAATTTCATATAGGCTTCCTTGGTCATTTGGTTAAGGTACTGACTTTGAACGACTAAGGGTTCGAATCTTGCAAGGGAATAGTGAATTTTTTGAGTGAGGAAGCATTCAAGCTAGGTAATGGAAAGGAAGGTCTGTAATTTTTTTCAAGTGCTAGCTTATGCCTGAAATAGTAAAAGATGGAGGTACAGCCAAGGTCTTGCTCTAAAGTCGACCTATGACCTTAACACTGTCAATGTGAATTAATACCCATAAATAAAAATAAAATGAAGGTCTGACATACATAAGGCCAAAACCATTTACATTTGTATTTAGAAATGCAAAAATATTTCTTCTTTGGTGTTATGTATGTTATAAAGTTACCATACTTTGCGTATCTTTTGTTTGGGTTTAAGGTCAGTGAGGTCAAGGTCATGTTTCTGCTTTTTCCTTTACCATATATTGTTTTTATCAGTGTGAGAACAGTGTTTGGTGCCAGTCACCGGTTTCTTGTATCCATATCCTTCATCCTTCTTCTTAAAACTACAGATATAAATAAAGTACATGGATACTTGATATATGAACAATAAGAAAAATTTAGTTGAGCTCATGCAGATATTTTTATGGTTTTCAATTTAAATGAGAATTTCTTATCTTATCTTCACAGTACCTTTTATATGTTACATTACATACAAAATCCTCTAAAAACTGCACATTCAGATATTCCGTGCATTATTGTTGGATTTTTTTCCCCTTCATACAAAACTGTATGGACGTTAAAGTAATTTAAGTTAGGCGTTATAAGTATTTTCATATCACTTCTCCCGTGGTGAACTTATTTCAATTCAACTTGAGAATATGTAACAAAATAATGAAATTTACATTATTTTACAAAAGACGTAGATGTTTTATCGCATGTTTTCGAGCCATTACGATAACTGATTTTTCGCGAAAACTTTAAGAGCAAAGGAAGTGTATGAAAGCCTCTTGATAAATCTGAAGTGTCCTAAGGTGCAACATACAGGACCCTGGTGTGAGTCTTTTTTCTAGAAGTTCTTAAAAAGCGGTAAAATCGACAATGTTCTCTGGCTTCAAGTTATTAAGTTACTGTAGAAAGATTTAATAATAAAATGATTACAGTAAATAGTGTTTAAAGCTGCAAGATACAAAGAATATGGTTATATGATTTGTGTTTATGTTTGTTTAAGGGTCATTGTGTGCTTTTAGGATAGTGGGATGTCAGGTTGCCTGTCTGCAATTTGTATATAAAAAAAATTTTGTACAGAATTTTGTTAAATTAGCTTTCATTTGTGAAAAAAATGTTCTAGCATATGAGCAGTTACTTATGATCAGATTGCTAGAGATGTAGTAGAACAAATTGGATGCTTTTGCTACAAAATTAAAATTTTATTACTTGTATAAATGAAATAATGATATTTTTTAAATGTTATTAATTTTTTATACTTGGACACTGAACTCACTTTCTAGAAAAAGTTACTTGATTTATTCTTTAGTAAGAAGTAATGATTGTGTCAAAGTAATTTTCAAAAATACATGAACCACAAGTTCTGAGCAAAGAAAAACAGTAATACAATTGTTTGTCAAACTTTTAATGCTTATTAAAGCATTTAACACTTCCAGATTCATTCTAATTTTTATGAAGAATTTTAGAATGTATTAAAAAGTAAAATATTATTAAGTAATAATAATAATCACATTGCAAACAGTACTTACTAACAACCCATGTAAGTCAAAAACCATACTGCATTTAATTTAGTAACACAGTAGAAATATAGTGAAAAATACAGCAAAATCAGTCATAAAAATCGCACATTATAACATGGAAATTATAACTTTCATATACTGAATCTTTACATTTCTTAAAATCTCAGTATTTTTTTCTCAAGTTTGATTTTCTTGAAATATTTTGGCTCATCTGGATATCATACAGCAGCTGGTTGCTTTGGTCACCGTGGTTACGGTCAATGTCAAAACTTTGGGTTCGAATCTGAAAAAAAAATGAAATGAATAGATAATACAACCAATCCTGAGTGCAGACCGAATACTTTATTTTGAATAACACTTCTGTATTTTTTAATGTTTTCTAAAAAAAAAATCATAAAAAATCTCGAAATAGGAACAAATGCAGGAATGGGCTGATGGGATATTTCCATCATCCTACAGTTTATACTGTTTTTATTGTAATGGTGTGAGATAATTCAATTTTCCTCTTGTTTTATATTTTAAGAGGTCTGTAATGAAAAGGAGGTACTAAATCTATTATGCATGTTTTGAAAATGAGAAAATTCACCAAGTCTTTTGTTTTATGACTTAGACAAAAAAATAAAGTGCACAGAATCTTAAAATCAGATTTTTTTTCTTTGAAAATTTACCATGGGAAATGTTTAGGTTCTCAATTTTTTTCAATAAAGATATTTAAAGATATGATTAGAATAATTTTGTTTTTGTGTTCAAGTAATTTCTCAATTTACATTTTTATTTCTACAATGACAGGCTCATACTGTGTATGATAAGGCTTTTTTGTGGATTTTTTTTTTCTTTTTTTTTTCTACAGAGTTGTGATTTGAACATTTCTGATATGAAAATGATATGAAAATAGACTAACTTGCTCTAAAAAGCCAGTGGGAAGCTTGTTTGAATTTTGGATGATAAATCCATACTTCCTTCCCCTGTGTGCAGTAATCACATAACTTTTCTATTGTAACTGATACCTGTGTGTCTTAAAAAAGGCAACAGACATAGGCTGATTGAGATATATAAAAAAGTAGCAGAGGAAAAAAAAATCTCCATTTTAAAACAAGTTTTTTGTTATGGGGATTGTTTCAAGTTCTCGTAAACATCTGGTTTTAAGGTGTGTCATTTGAAATTTGAGTTTTTGTTTCCTTTAAATTATGCAACTTGACAATCGTCCAAATGATGAAAATAATAAAAACAAATTTTGATAAGTGAGTCATTTTTACCTGGTGCAGGAAAAAGCAGAGTTGATTGACATATTTATGCGAAACCCTACAGTGAAAATTATTCACCGGCATGCTCACAAGATAGGGCCCAATTTGTGCTGTAGTATACATCATATTGTCAAACATCTGCGATGAATCGGGGCGCACACGGTGTCTCAACAAAGTCGCTTTTATGTCTGAATGCATGAAGATTCGTGTTTGGCTGAGATAATGTAATGTATACATACTGTTATATGGTTATGTTGTTGTCGAAGATGGGTTTTTACCGGTGATTGATAGATCAAAGCAGTAGGAAAATTGGTTATATGAACTGCTTATAATACTGTATGAATAAATTACACAGGGTTGTCATGTTCTCTATTTAGTGGATAAACATCACCAATTTATGCTTTTATAAATCAAGCTCGATTAAAAACACTGTCGTAACTATGGTATCTTAGTTGATTCAGTTACAATAGTGTTGAACTAAACAGTTGAGATGAGGGGATGAAATAAAATACCCTGCTTGTTATATTGTCTGACAGATCAGGGGTCATAGGAAAAATGCTTCTTTTAAAATCCCATCTATATTCCAAGTGTTTTATTCATGAGAAAGTTATGTTGTTGGTTTTTTGCATACATACATTTTTTTGAAGATAAAGTCATCTGTATTAAATATGTCTTAGATAAGTAAAAATCTTTTGAGTTCAAAGAAATAAAGTTTTGAGCTATCTTATATTTTGCCAACAAGAAAATGATCTATCTCTATTCTGAACAGTTACTCTATCTCTATACTGAATAGTTACTCTAATTTTCATCTAGTTGGCAGGATGTGCTAAAAATCATTTGCCTAGACATAAGAACCATGACACAAGAGCAAATTATAAAAATATTAAATTAAGTTGGCTAGGTTATCATATTTATATTTCTGTATACCCTTTACTGCCCGTGCTTCCTGTGAAAGGTCATTTTAGCCTGCACATTCCTGCCAGAGAGATACCGGTCACTGTTGGTCATGTATTTACTCTGTAGATTAAACCCTTCACTTAATAAAAGTAAAAGCAAGATAAATCCCTGATTAAGATTTGGCAGAAATAGGAAATCCTACAATAATGTACTTTATTTTTTGTGTTCTTCTCTTTGCAGACAAAGAGACTGGTTTGGTAAAGCAGGGAGGCAGTGTGTACGAGCCGGGCCCAGACGAGGATTTAACTAAAGAAGGAGGTGAGAGAAAAGTCCAAAGATTATTTGCTTTTTTGCTTTTGCTCTATGATTCAGTTTGTTTGTGAGGATTTCTATAATTCACATTTCCATATTGGTATTGTTGGAAGGATGTAAGTATAATACTAGGTAAATCAGATATCCTAGAAAAAGTTTTGTTTAGTCAACAATGGCTAATTCTTTGAATTTAAGGATCCTTTTGCAATACCTGAAAATGTTGCCATTACTTTGTTTTAAATTGATTTTTGTTTTGGTAATGCAATATTTACTGACATATCGGCCATATTTTGGAAATAGTGCTAGTGCTCTTCTAATTTTAAAAAATGTGCTGATGCTCTGCTAATCTTGGAGTGTGTGGTAATATTTTTCTAATTTAAGAAAAAGTGCTGATCTCCTAATTTTTTTAGTAAAATTTTTCTCTGTATTGCATGATTATGTACTGCTGTATAAAATTGATAAATCTACTTCTCTAAATGATATCATCATGCTTGATAATGCACAGTTTTGCTTTGTGCATTGATAATACTATAATCTCTACAGAGCTTTTTTACAGTGATAATGTTCTACTCTTAACAAATTATGCTTTGATATATAAATTGCTAATATATTTTTTCTAAATCAATAATGTTCTACTATTTTATTCTCTATATTGATAATGTTCCACTTTCTAAAGTGCTAATGCTCTACTCTTATTCTCTAGGCTGTTTCACTCTATAGTAGTGATATTGTTCTACTCTCTATAGTGCTAATGCTTTACTCTCTGGACTGATAAAGTTCTACTTTCAAAATTGATAATGAACCACTTTCTCAAGTGGGAATGCTCTACTCTTATTCTCTAGGCTTAAAATGTTTCACTCTTAACCCTTTCCCACATGAGCATATTGTGAAAAATGGCCGTTTTCAGTGAAAAGCCTCCTGTTACAAGTTGAAACTGCTATGAAACTATGAAAAATGCTTCAATACTAATCAAACTTGGCACAAATGTTGACTGGACCATTGCCTTTGTAAGGACATGCTCAGTCTTAAATTTCATGTTACCATGGCAACGAGGGGACATCTCAAAATTGCCAAAAATCACTATTTTGCCTCGATTTTTCCATCAAAATTTATTTCAAAGTGCTGCAACTTCTCAATGGATTGAGATAGAGTCAAAGGCTTTTCAGCATTGGTTACACGTTACCTTATGATCAACCTGGGGTCTTTTTCAGCCTCTCACAAGTCCAAAATTTTCTTGGCGATGAGGGGGACTCTGCCCCTCTTCAAACCCCCCAAACAGAAGGGGGCATATCCCCCTTCTGGCAACCCCCTGATGTATCGGAAAAAAGTGCTCGATTTTTTAAGCAACATTTCTCAAACGAAAACATGTGTTGGGCCCAAATAGGACATTTTTTTCACTATTTCAGGCCTAAAAAATGGGGTGGGGGGGGGGGTCGAAAGTGCGTTGTTTCGCGTATATATGAGGTAAAGGGTTAAGTAGTGATATTGTTCTACTCTCTATAGTGCTAATGCTTTACTCTCTGGACTGATAAAGTTCTACTTTCAAAATTGATAATGTTCTTATTTCTATATTGACCATGCTCTTTTATCTCAAGTGATCAAATTCTACTATTTCAAGTGTTATTGTTCTACTCTCTAGAGTGATAATGATTGATAATGTCCACTCTCTATATTGATAATGTTCTACTATTCTCATGTAATCATGTTCTACTCTCTAGAATGATGATGCTCTACTTTGTTATCAAATTCAATTCTCTAGAGTAACTTTTGCTCTTCAATGTTGATACTTTACTATGTAAGGTGATATTTAAGTGACCAGAGTAATTCTGTTTATCTTTGTTAAAAGTGCTTTGAAAAAATGTGCTAAGCTGAGTAGGTCTGTAAATATTCCATAATGCTTTACTTTAAACAGTGATAACTTTCTACCTTTGATAACTAGTGATAACACTGTATATGTGTAGTGATATTTTGTTGTGAAAATTTGTACTTTTAGGTACAGTGATAAAATTTACTTTTGGTACAGTGATTAAATGTACTTTTTGGTACACTTTGGTTACAGTGATATAAACAGTATATTGGATACAGTGATAAAATGTATTTTTGGTTTGTACTTTTTGGTACAGTGATGATTGGTACCTTTGGGTTCATTAATAATATATACTTTTGGGTACAGTGTCAATAACAGTTACGGCCCCTGATTACAATTATAGTTTTGATTCCTTCTCTTACAATCTATACATCTATTTGTATAGTGAGGATGAATAAAATTCTTGCATGACATTCCTTTCTTTATCACACTTTAACATGAAATTCCTGTAACTGTAACATAATATTTTTGGTTGCTTGACGTGATTGTAACTGTATTTTTTAAGAGATGTGATTATGATTTTACTGCACAAGGACATGCCTTCATTTTTCTTGAAAAGTTTTTATCAAAATTGTAATATAATTTTTTTTTTTTTCATTGTTCTGCAGTTTCTGTTGTGCTAAAATGGTGTGGAGGAGCACCCATTAGTGTCAAGAATATTCTCATTTTTTCACCGTCTTTAAAGTAAAATGAAGGCATATCAATTTCTGCACATCAGTATCTATATAATTATAACTTGTGTTTATTTTTGCACACTAGCACCTGCTTTTAGTGAGACCTGCATGATTATGTATTTATTTTCCTTTTCAAGTCAAACCTAAGTTCATAGAACAAGAGAAAATGGAACGCAAAAGTGTGATAGTTCGGCCTGTTGGTAGTTCATTACGACTACGCTGCCGAGCCAACGGAAACCCCCTTCCCATGGTGCATTGGTTGAAGGACGGTCAAAAAACAATACTCATTTCAGACGAAGGGTCTGATGGTGATAAAAAGAAATGGACGTTAAAATTACGAGACTTACAAGAGACTGATAGCGGGACCTATCAGTGTGTAGTGTCAAATAGGCATGGAGTTATTAATTTTACTTACTCTGTAGAAGTTATAGGTAAGCATGCTTCTCTTTCCCTCCACCATTTCCTTTCACAGGAGCTTGAAGTTTGTTTGACTTTCCAAAATTGTTCACAGGGTCTTTCACAGGGGTATGAATCATCGAAACACATGTCCGTAAAGTTTGAATATGTCCAAAAATGTTCATAGGTGCTTCACATTATCAAATTTTAACAAGGTTTGAATAAAAAAACTATTATTCATAGGAACAGGCAAATTTATTTACACAAGAACTTTTGTTATCTCGATATTTAGAGAACCTTCACACTATTTCTCATCCATGGGACTTGAAATGGGATTTAAATCTGAGCATGGTTTGTGATAATTCTTTAATTTAATATAAAATCTTAATTTCTCCAAGGAAATAAGTTATTCAAAGCAGTTTGTAATAAGAACAACTTCAAGCTACTGTTATCCCCTGGACTAATTTTCATTTAAATTGATCAGTCTTTACCTTTTCCCCCCTGTCTGCTCGACATAAAACAAGTTTTTACCCAATTTAGATAAATGAATTGTTAATTTTTCATTTTAGATGAAGATGTGTCTGCTTCACAAGAAAAAAAGTTGTCTCCCTTTCATATTAGAAAGTCTTCCTATAGACTAGAATTATCCCCCTTTAATATAAAACCTCAATGCAAAAAAAACAACACATTTGTCTCCCTGGTAGGTTCTGTGTCTCCTTTTACCTGAAGCATGCATGATTTTTGTACCTATATTTTGTCACTCTGATGGATGAGTGCTGATATCTTTTAAATCTGGATTTTTTTTTTACCAAATGGTTTGTTTTAAAAAGTCATAAAATCTTTCTTCTTGATGTATCCCAGTATTGGACATAATTTTTTTTTTGAATTAACTGTATTGAGGCACTATTTTATGACAAAAAGGATGGAACAGATACAGTAGTCTGCTTTGTTGTGGATATATAATATATATTGTGCTACATAATTATATATGTGTGTATTTACGTCACTAAGTTACACTGTATTATCTATGTATCTGCTTCTATAAATATATGTTTAGAAATACAGTCAAACCTTTAAAGGCTCCCAAAACTGCTGGAAAAAAACAGTCTATGTTAAGAAATGTACTAAATTTAAGAGTAGAATTTAACATAATAAATGTAGTCAAATGTGGAAATTAAATTAAACATCATCTGAACCATCAGCTCAGAGCCAGGCCAGCTTGCACACCTGTGTAGTCTAACTAGGCTCTGTACTGTTGGCTCACTAATTTTCTTAAATTTTGTTTTTGTGATTATGAAACAAATGATAAAAGGAAAGATCTAAAATAGAACTTGAACACGTCCATTTAAGAAATTCATAAGAAATTCAATAGGTTAATTGGGAGAATCAGTTCCCAAAACAGGATGTTTGGGACCAGTCTGTCTAGAATGTTAACATTGTTATATCTAATCTGTTAAAGCACTTTAATTATTCATTACTTACGCTTAAAAGTACAAATGTTTGTTTCTGATCAATGTATTACATTAAGAACAAAATAAACACAAAATTTACATAAAACAGGTGTGTTTCGCTTAAATTCTGACCATAAAACATTCAAATTGATTAGAATGTCATTTTATATCCTTTTATTGAAATGAGCATCGTGAATTACGTTTAATTACCAGTTTCATTACAATCTTTATTAAGTAATTATACATATTTTTGTCTCCAAAACACCGTGAAAATCTGCTCAGAATTGCTAAAATGGATTGTGTTTTGTTACAAGGCTCGCCACATGTTTATCATTTGTGACACTATGACATTAACTGTAGGGAATGACAATTAATGGAATTACAATATTGAATGAAAAGTTGCATCAGGGCAGTCTAAGCATTACCTTTGTTTATTGGTTTACATTATTCTTACAGTATCAATAATAAATTTTTAAATGCAAGGTTGTTGCAGTGCTTTTAGCCACAAAACATACGTTTAGCTATCCAAATTCCAATGTTATTTTATTAGTATTGATTTATTCTCCACAAATAATGTTAACTTCCACTCATGAAACATTTGATTAGGAGCTGGATAACTTAACTAATTACTTTAATTTTCTCTTACCCAAATCTGATGTTTCAAATTCACAACCCCAAGATCAGTTGACCATATAGGCTCCCTTTGAGCATAAAATCATCCATGACTTATTAATTTTCATAGAACTTTTTATAACAAAATTCTAATTCTAATATTATTTTGCATAATATTTCCTGAAAATCAACCTAAATATTTTGAAAACAAAAATTTAAAAAAAAACATCGGTTTAAAAAGAAATTGTTTCCCTAGTGCTTGCCATTTACGTCAGCTCAGTTAGAGTATTGTAGCTGTGTGGGTTGTGTGTGAGGGTGGAGGAGAGATGTGTGTGGGGGTGGGGGGAGAGGTGTGTGGGGGTGGGGCGAGAGGTGGTTAATCAGGAGAAAGTGTTGACATTTTATAATGTTTGTTTTACCATGACAAACAATTCATCACCTTAGTGCAGTAACGAAATAAGTTCTACTAAATATGATAGGAGTCAATCAGTTATTGCACTAATGTGACGAATTGTGCCTCAAATAATTTATGGTGATTAATTCATGGTGTATCTTGAGGCACTTCCTGTGCCAGCAGAGCAAGCAATATACCACAGTCAGTGCAAGTTAAAACAATACACAGAACTTCTTGTCATTGACAACACATAATTTGTGTGGCCTTACTTAATGAAAATGTCTTACAAGTTGTTTGCTGTAGAATGTACATAACGAGATATGATATGATAAAGCACCTTTTCACATCTGTAAATGGAAATGTGTCTTGTTTATATGATTTGATTTTCATGAGATGATGGCCGTTAATAGATTGTTTTAAAGGTTCACTCAGTATTTTCTGAATAATGTCTGCATATCACAGACTTTGTTTTATTACTGCTGTGGAGAATTGGTGATTTATTTTTAATCAAATTCAATTTAAAATCAAATTTGGTTTTAGGGGTGAACTTAAATACAGATACTTTTAAATGCTGATTTCAATGTTAATTTCCAAAATTATATTGATGTTTCAATTCAAATATCAAAAGTTGCCTCTGCAATAAAGATAAATCAATATTAATAAGCAAAATATCTTTCAAAGGATATCCCCAGTGTTATAAAAATGGGGGGTGGGGGGTATTTAAAAAAAAAAAATGATACTGAGCCACATTTTCTTGAGTTAAATAAAGTTAACATTGAATTGTTTTAGATTAATAAAGAGCCTTGCAACTTGCATGTGATATACAAACTACTTAAAAAAAAAAATTTTTTTTTTCACAAATAAATTAAAATTTGATAGGCTACTGCTTTTAAGTTAAGATATATTGCATGAAGCCAGCTAATAACAAATAAGATTAATGCAGACAGTCAGAAAAAGAGATATAATTATAATCAAATAACATCCTAGCCTTTTAACACTATATTAACAGTATGCATGTATTGCTCTCTAATTGCATGGTGCTAGTTGTAATGTCACGCAAGTTTTTTCTTTGTTTCAGGATATTGTTTTGTTCATCTTAAATATTGGCCAACAATTATGTCAGTATCGTATAATTTTTGTATCATGAATATATTTATGTTGTTAGATATGTTTAAAAGGCAGTGTTATTATGTTTCAGGTCAAATGAAAACCAAGCCAGTATTGATAGGGCCTCACCCTCTGAATGAGACAGTTACCCTCGGAGGCTATGCCTCCTTTCAATGTAAAGTGAAGAGCCAAGTTAAACCTCATATACAGGTACAGTAAACAAAATTGATATTAGTTTGTTGCTGTTTATGTTTTTGTTGTTGACAGGTTATATTATTAGTCACAAAATTTTTTGACAGGTTATATGGTTATAAATGGTTGTTTGCATATATGACTAGCTGCAAGATACTGGTTATATTGCAAACAACCGATTATATACAGCCATATAACATGTCAACAAACTTTATAATAACAAACTCTGTTTATTTGAGAGAAAAAAATTATAATAACTTCATAAATTGACAACAGCATTGTATATAGTTTATATACATGTCATGATTTTCCAACAAAAAGTGATGTTACAAAGTTAATGTGCAGTATTTTTAAGTGTAGTATGATTATATGGTTGTATTGTTATATTACATTAGCTGCAAGGCAATGTTATATAGCAAACAACCATTTATGCATTGCTATGTAACTTGTCAAAAAGATGTTAATTTTCCAATGAAAATGACATAACAAACTGTTTTCCAAAATGTTCATATCATTTACCAAATGTCTCTATGATGATCTTGGATGCATGTAAAATTTTAAGATTATTTCTTGTAATGTGACCAACCAGCAGGGTACAAGATAGTTGTACTAATGTGACCTGTCTTAGTCTAGATATAAATGTCTTTTTTTTCCACTAATAATTATTAAGTTTCTATATGATAATTATATAGAAACTATGTTGCTGAGACTTTATAAGCAGATACTGACCAGAAGTTATCTCCTGGCAAGCTTGTTCAAAACGTTTTCTAACAATATATCATGACATTTTAACTATATTCTGACATATTACAGTTCAGTGTAAACTTAAAAAATATACACTGTTAAAAAAAACTTTTATAGCCTTATCATAACACAATAGTTACATTAGTCATACATTGATACCATATGAGCCGTGCCATGACAAAAGCAACATAGTGCGTTTGCGACCAGCATGGATCCAGACCAGCCTGCGCATCCGCGCAGTCTGATCAGGATCCATGTTGTTCGCTGTCAGTTTCTCTTCTTGTTATAGGGTTTGTAAGCGAACAGCATGGATCCTGATCAGACTGCGCGGTTGCGCAGGCTGGTCTGGATCCATGCTGGTCACAAACACACTATGTTGGTTTTGTCATGGCATGGCTCATATTTGTTTATAAGCATAAACGTTAAGATTTGTATAACTTGTTGGAGCAACTGTAGCTGAGTAGATAAGGTCTTTGACTTCAAACCACTTGTTTCTCACAGCTGTAGGTTTGAGCCACGCCAGAGTCTTCAGATTCTTTCATGTAAAAAAGCTAGCTTACAGAACGCCAGTGGTTCTACTGATACATTCTTTTCATCTGCTTTCAACTTAAGTGAAATTATGTAAGATAATTTCACTGTAGGAGTATCAAAATATATATCACTATCTACTGAACAGCATGTGATAAAATATACAAATATATACAACATATACATCATACTGTTTCTTTATTTTCAGTGGTTAAAAAGGTTAGATAAAGAACTAGAGGCCACTGTTAATAGTACTAATATAATAGAAGTTAAAGGACAAAAATTTGTGGTGCTAAAAACTGGTGAGGTGTACAAAGACAATGGAGGTTTCTATGTGAATAAACTTGTGATAAAAAATGTGTTAGGGTCAGATGTAGGCATGTATATATGCCTTGGTGCCAATACAATGGGCTACAGCTTTAGAAGTGCCTTCCTTACTATAGTATCAGGTACTGTATGATTTCCTGACCATTTCTTTATGACAAAAAATTTTGGTTACAAATATTGAGAAGATTTGCTGTAAAACTTCAGAGATCGTCCACTAGTAATTATGAGTAGAATTTAAGAGAGCTCGATGCAGGACGAGTAGTAAAATGTTGCCTGCACATTGGATTTAGAAGCTACTCATCTTTCTCTGAAAATATTTTTTGATGCCTTGAATTTAGAATTAACAAAAACTTAACGTAATGAAACTTTCATTTTCCTTTCTCAAACAAAATGTTTGAAACAAAGTGATAGTATAAATAATACAAGACACTGTTTATATGTAATTGTTAAGCTGATTGCTTTTGTTTTTTAGTGTATAATTATCATAATTATTTTGTACATATATTTATTAGTAAAATCAAATTTGCTGAATAATTAAAGCCATTAAAAGATTTCTCATCTTAAATTTCAGAAAGTTTAGATAATCCGATGGCAATAAATCCTGCCTCGGCAATAAAACCTGGTTTACAAGGAATACCATCTGGAACGGCACAAGGATCAGGGTCGGAGGGGACTAGTGAAGAAGAAGTTGGGAATGGCAGTTTGCCCCTTATCATTGCAATACCAGCATGTGTAGCAATAGTGTTAGTGACGCTGGCTATATTTATTCTAAAAAGGCGAAAAAAGTGTAATAATAATTCAAATGCTCGTAGAAATACTCGCTTTAATGCGGTGCCGACGCAGGAGCGTGAAAACTTTCCTCCTGCGGCACAATACCCTCATATTTTACCTCCTAAAGGTCCGCCCAATAGATCTATGGATAAAGCATCCACAAAACATAGTTCAGACTTTTACTCAGACATATCGTCTGTATCAAGGTGCCATCATCATCCGCAACAAGGGCATAGCAATCATCAGTATGGGTATTGAACTCTTGGTGATGATGGTAAAAACTTGAGAAGAAAAATATGTGTCCAAAACACTAGTGCTATTTTCGGAAGCTGACATTGAGCATGTTGGTGCTTCACTGCAATATGTCATGGCTAATACAAGTAGAAAATGTTGTGAAATAAAAACTTCAAAAGCCATTTTTCAAAATATTGCTGACCGGCCATTTGCAATATAAAATGGCCGATAAGCTGTTTTTCGGAATACAAAGCCAATAAGCAGTTTTTTTCAATTTTAATAGTTGAAAGATCTGTTTTTCGACAATTACAAAATGGCTGACATGTAGATGTGATTGTAAGTCATAATGGGTCTTATAGGAAGTAGGCAACTACGATAATTAGTTAACATTTATGTAACTGAGAAGATGAGCTATGTTTTTCAGAATTGTGATATTGCTTTACAAATTAAATGATTGATATTCACGGAGAATCAAAAAGCATAGAGGGAGCATTTGCGTGACAACATTTTCACTAAAATGACAAAACTTTCGTTATCAGAAAGTGTTTCTACAAGAATCAGTGGTAAACTGAATTGTTTACACAATTATTTATACTAGCATTATTACCTATATTGATTTGATGTATTATTTTTTTACATATTAAAAAAAAAAAATGTTTATCAATACATAAAGGGTACATATTGTGTAGAGACTACAAATTGCCATGTGTAGGTAAGGACGATAGACTGGTGCCACAAGTAAAATTCTAGACTGTGATTACATTTCTAAGAGATAGTGACTGAGTATTGTAACATATTTTTAGCTGATCATTTTTGCAATATATAATATGTTGTTGTTTTTTTTTCTTTTTTGCTGGGGAAGAAAACATGTTAATTCTGATTATTGTAATAATATTTGTTCTTTTAAAGTAAACTTAAATGTAACATTGTCATTCATGATAGAAGTAAATTAGTTATAATAATGATTTTTAACTAGTTTTAGTTCTTATAAAAAAATTGTTTGGCTTCCTTTTTTTACTTTTTTTTTTCCGTTTTTTAACGTAAAAAGTCTAACAATCTTCTTTTTTTTAAATTGATGTTCAATGTTGATAATCATTACTATATATCTAGTATTGATTTTTTTTTTTTAATTCTCTAATATGATATGATATAAAATATAATAGAAGATTTGCGAGATGAAATATTCTTAGAAGTGTTGGTTTCTTGGTGCTATAATGCTATATCATAGTTTATCTGTGTAAGGTAAGGACACTTGATAGTGTATGATTTTGTAAATGTATTTCTAACATGTGATACAAGTTAGGCTTAAGAACAGTGACGCAGTCAATTTTTTTTTATTTACAAGTCCAAATGGACAAAATACAGCTTTTGTCATAAGAAAATACAGAGAAAAGAAAAGATCATGACTAATTATTTTCTTTTGATTAAGTAACTAACTATAAACACAACTATGATTTTTTCTAGCCTAACAATTTTTTCTACAGTATATTTCTTGACTATTCTACATGTGTCTCCTATTTTCAATCAGTTGACATTATATCTAGAGACCAAATTTCACCAGATTTTATTGGAGTGCAATTTTTATCAAGTTTTCTTCTGGGTAACAGAGAACAAGCAACTTTAGTGCAGAAATATTAGAAATAATTAAGTTCATTCATGAAAAAAAATGAGCTGTGTCATGACAACATAATGGGTTTGCGACCAGCATGGATCCAGACCAGCCTGCGCATCTGCGCAGTCTGATCAGGATCCATGCTGTTCGCTTACAATCCCAATAGCAAGTAGAGAAACTGATAGCGAACAGCATGGATCCTGATCAGACTGCGCGGATGCGCAGGCTGGTTAGGATCAATGCTGGTCGCAAATGCACTATGTTGGTTTTGTCATGACACGGCTCAAATGTCATTCAATTACAGGTATTATTCAATTATTTCATAAGACAAAATTAAAAGAACATATTAAGCATGCCTCTGAAAATGCTGTAAGAAATGAATTTAGTTAATGTCATTAAGCACTGAGGTAGATGGATACTAGATACGGCATAAACATGGTAACTTTTTCCAGATTTATAATAATTTCAAGCAAATTAATAAGACATTTCCTTTTTGCATTATCAAGTAGTTTATATTTTGAATGACTCATTTTATATAATGTGTGCAAATGAGTGTGTGTATAGTTATAAGCTGTAAACATACACACAAAAAGAAGTTCCTTGTAAGAGGAGTGATACTAGAACTATTTTTATGTAAAAAAAAATCAGTATTTTATGTGATATAGTATATATATTTAAGTGAAAATGTGTGTATTTGTTCTTTCTCCTATTAAAATGAGTGTTTAAAATGAGATAAGATGTATTTTTAATATATTAATTTTTTGTGCATCTTTGAAATTATTATGCTAGTAAATGTAAAAGCTGATGCTCTTACATTTATAAAGTAAGCAAAAAAAATAATTTTGATATGCTTTTAAAGAGTTCTAAAAATGTTGAAACATTTCTTCTTAGTTTCTTATTTTGACATTTATTGCAAAAAGCGTTGTTTTCTCCATGGATAGGTTGTTCAGGTCTTTTATTTTTGCCTATCTAATGTCAGCACTTTTTATGATAGAAAATTTGGTGGAAAGTTTACTTTTCTGGGAAATAAAATGTCATGAAGATATTTGGAAATGCATTCATATCAGAAGTACTTGGGATAAGTATAGCATGTAAAAAGATAGTAAGAAAAATCCTTGGGGGGGGGGGGATATTGGCAACAAAAGTCATCTTAATGAAACTGCATGCTTCCAGATTTTTTTTTTGTTATTTTAGAAATTCAAAGAATGCATTTGTTGGTAACAAACAGTAATGGTTGAAAAAAAGGAAAAAAGAAATTAAGTGAATTAGTAAAGATTTTATCAACTGACATTCTTGTAAATCTGCTGTCTAATGCATACATACCAACACACACGCTAAATTTTTGTCAATTTGTTGTTGAGGTTTTTTTTCAACAGTTGAGTGTTAGCAACATATTCCACAAACATACGCCACTAGAAAAGACCCCAAGTCAGTGACTCAGTCATGCAAGGTGCATAGCAGTTATTCAGACTAATAGATAATAATTGCTTTTGTGAAACTGACAATGTAGGGTGACCTAACTAAACAGCAAGTCCATTTTGAAGATATTTAAAAGATTATAAATTTGACAGGATTTTTTCCAAATTTAAAATTATACTAAATTTTATTTGTCACTCACTCAATTTCAAATTGTTAATGATTTAATTTGTCACTGACTCCATATATTGGCAGAAATACTCTGCAAATTTTAAGATAAATGAAGGAAAAAATATAATTCTTTACTGCGTCATGTTCCCATTCTTGTCTGTGCACAGATTAATTACCCATTGAATTATTATGATTACATTTGAAATGCATTTTCTTTCATTATATTAGAGCACAATGATGATTCATCCTTATTTTTGGGGTTTTTTTTCTATTCATTTTTTTCCCGCCTTTTTTATTTCTACACAATCATGCAATTACACAAAAACCTCATAACATTTTTTATGATCTTGACAAGAGGTGCAATACTCATTCATGGACAGAAGTTTATTACTGTTTTGGCTCATGTTCTACTATAATAGCACATATCGTCACCTTAGTGCAGTAACAGGTTAACTCCTATTAAATTTTATAAGGAGTTAACCCATTACTGCATCAAGGTGACTATATGCTGAAGAGGTTTGTTATTGTTTTAAAATACAATGTAGATTTTAAAAAAAGTCAAATGCTTCATTTCGTAATAATAAATCACATTTTTTGCTTTGGTTAATTGTTTTTCGTAAAAATAGAATGTCTTTTTTTCCAATATAGTATTTTCCTGTTACTAATTAAGTTCACACATAATTTTTGTATTTTCTTGGGCCGATGATTATGTATATCTTCACTCTGTAGGGAATTCCTAAACATTGACTGGCATTTATGTACTAACATAAAAATAATTTCATCTACAACAAAATTTGTTGTCATACAATTCTTGCTATGGAGTTTAGTTTTTTAAAATCAAGGATTCTGGTTAAAATCATTTGCCATTACCATTTGAAGATACAAACCCTCTTTTTAGCATTTATTGTATCTGTAAACCATTCTTTTGTGTTCTTGTTGTGTGTTTGACAATAACTATTGGATAAAAGGTACTTAACTTACTTTTCTTTAAAATAAAATAATGTTAAAAAAACGAAACTCAATAAATTTTCTCATTAACACAAAATCTTCATCAAGCACAATGAATATGTAGACAGGACTTGGATGTTTTAGTTATAAGAGCAAATGAAGGATGAAAGGTTTCATTTTACTTGTTAAAAGTAAATGATGTAACAACTGTTGACAAAATAACTTTTACTTCTTTATTTCTTACACAGCAAGCTTTAGTTATTTTCCCATTTTGTAAATGATTCCTCACATTTGTCACTTTTCCTGTGTATATATTGTTTTGTTTTTTTATTTTGCAAATAGATATTACCTCACAATTGACTAGTTTTGTTTAGCCTGTTATCTGCTGCATTTGTATAATGAATCTGCCCTGCTTTTAGTTTGGAACAGTCCAAGTTTAAGGGATTTCAATATCAATGTACTGAAATTGAGCTACATGTTCCAACAGTATAGAGTCTGGCCAGACTACATGGATGTGCAGGCTCTCCTGGCTCTATACTCGGGGGGCCATTGTCTGTACCAGTAGGTTGCAGATTAGGTTACATCAGTCTGGTATCGCTAATGTTTCCTTGTTGCTTTGTTTCAATTTTGTTCTTAAACACTTAGTTCATTATTATAAACACTTAGTTCATTATCATACAAGTTTCTTTCATTTATTTTTAGTACCAACAATCTGTCAAGACATTTTTGCAATTTGTGAGAACTTATTTCTATAAATACTTGAGGAAGATAGGGTCTTGTCTGATCTGATTGGTTTATAAAAATAGAAGTGTAATGACCACTTTTTATTAAAATCTATATGAATTATAAAACTTTAGGGATTCAATCTTGTGTGTATTTAGTGCATACTTCCTATCAAAGGGAGGGAAAAAAAGAGCATGAGAGAGGAATGTGGTCAGATTAAGTAGAAAGAAATAAGGGTAGAATATTACCAGTTATAAGAATGTGTGTGCCATTTTTATTAGAATAAAAGGTTTGAAGGAATAGCATCTAATCCTGAGTAAAATTTTTAATGGAAACAACATGTTTGAGATTTCAAAACATTTTTATTTTTGTTTAGGTGCAAAACTCTAGCTTTATTATTTATTAAAGGGTAAAACAAGACAAATTGTTTGTCTTAAATTACATTTTTATGTGCATCATTTTGATGGCAATAACAAAGTTCTAGCTCTTGCATTACTGTTCAATGTTTTTATAATAGATTTAAAATGTTTTTCATCTTTAGTTTTTCATGTCATTTGTAATGAAAGTTGAAAGTATGACTGATTACAAGTAATAATAGATCCGTTCATTTCCTAGGAAAAATCTGTCCAAAATAAAGAAATGATATCTTTACTGAAAAGGTAATTCATGAAGAGGAGTGCGCGGAAATTATTATAAAATGACAAACAGATTCATGCGGAATAATGTACAAGTAACTTTTGATTTGTAAATTTTTCATGGAAATAAAAAAAAACTAGGAAACAAATTTTGGCATGAAAAACTTCAGGTGAAAATTGTTTTGCTTATTTTGTCTTATGTGCAATATATGTAAATATTTGATTTCTACAAACTATAATATACATGTAAATTGTTCTGATAATCCAGGCTGTAATATTGTATTTTGATATCAATGTGATGACCACCATTGTTAACATTGATGGCAAGTTTGTGTCAGTCAAGATGAAGTGTGTGAGATGAGAGCTGACTGCTTGTTCAATGATTATCTGTAAAGTTTCTGGCAGGGTATTCATGTAATAGTGTTTTCAATCAGTATTCATCAACTTTAACCTTTTAGGTGGCAGCATGACCAAAGTTGTTAGCGCGTCAGACTAGTAATCTAAGGATTGCTGGCGCATGGATTCAAACCCTGTCGGGGGGCAAGCTGTTATTTTCATAACCAAGAAACTTTACACTCATTGCTTAGTACTTGTTGGTTTCAAGAATGACTTCAAGAGTGTTTCAATAAGCTTATAGCTTCTAACACAGTCAAACTAAAATAAAGTAATATAAAGTAACCTTTACATTGGTGATAGTTACTTAATTTACCAAATTTTCTCTAGATGTTCTTTTTGTAAGAAAGAAATACTTTTGAGTTACAAAAGCAAAATTATAATGTAAACATTTTTATTAGAGTTAATGTTCTAAAAATAGCTGACACATTGCAATAAGGATAACATTATAATTATGAATATTATTATTGTTGATAACATTTCTGTGACACTTTTAGTGAGTACAATCCCTTAAGGCTAGGATTTTCCAAACAGCAATACAAATTGTTTTATGCATAATACAGTGCTTTTAAAATACCAATTAATCCCACATGGGAGGAATAGCGCAATGTTGAATTATATACAAAAATGTACATGAATTTCTATTGTCACTTAATTGTTTCTTGAATATCATTATCACCTTAGTGCATTAATGGGTTATGTCCTTCTAACTTTAATAGAAGTTAACCAGTTATTGCACTTGGGCATTGGTATGCAATGAATAATGAATTTTATCTGTTTGAAGTTCATTTGTTTAGCTAAGCCATTGAAACAAAACCACAATAATATATACATTCTTTATAATTGATTAGAATCAGTAAAATGATTATCATACATGTATAAAACTAATTATATATCAAATTAAGAACTGCCAGAAGGTGTATATTGCCACCTTAGAACATTAATGGGTTATGTCCTTCTAAATTTAATAGGAGTTAACCAGTTGTTACACTAAGGTGATGATATGTGCATGTGATTTGAATCAGCAAATGAAAATGGTGTTCGTATCTTAACAGACTGCTTTGTCATCTTTTGTTTAATTTTTTATAGCCTAGTTTTGTTCAGTTTGTTCTGTTTATTAAGTTTAATTGATATTATGCTATACTTGTTCACAAAAAAAGTGAAGTTTTTTATGTGAACAGCAATTATTTTTAAGCATTTTTTATTATTTGGTAACAATTATTTGAAGGGTTATTATCAAAGTGCTGTATGTACAAACAATATTGTATGTACAGGTTTGAAATAATCTTTCAAACTAGCTTAGTATGTGAGGTCAGACAGGGTAAATGTCTCTTCTGTATTGTTGTATTGATACTTTATATGTACAAAATATGTACACAAGTAAAATGATTAAAAATATCAGTTTATACAATGATCTTCTCTTTTTCTTTGCCTACCTATCCTTGTTATATCATACAGGTACACCTGAATTCTCAAATTAAGGATCAAACACAGCATGGGTATAAAATGGACTTGCCCCCAGGCCAGAGATCATTTGTTACTTCTCCAAAGAGACAACAAGGCCTATTTCGTAAGAGATATTTCACAGTGAATCTGTGCAAAAAATATAACACTTAAGTTGAGCTGGTTAGGTTACTCTTGTTATGCCCATTTTTGGAGAAGCAACAGAAGGTATAATGTTTTGCAACTGTTGGCTGGTGTGTGGGTCTGTCAGTCATTAGACAATCTTGCTTCTGCCAAATATCTACATTGCCATTTGATACCCACCATGAAGTAAAAGACCCCTTGTGATTTTAAGGCACTGATGTATGAAGGGCACAGTAATCTTGGATGTGAAAGCTATTTCCACTCGATAACTAGAGAACCATTTGACCCACAGCCTTCAAACTTCATAGGATTATCATCCTTATTAAGCAGAAGACCTCTATTGTGTTTTGGTATGTTTGAAGGTCAAAGTCAATGTGTCCTTGAATGTGAAAACCATTTCAATCAATAACTAGATAACCAGTACAGCCTTCAAACCGGATAGGATGATTACCCTTATTGAGTAGAGGACCCCTATGGTTTTTGGAGGCCAATTTTTGAAGATCAAGGTCATGGTGACCTTAAACGTGAAAACAACTTCTGCTCAGTTATTAGAAAAGCATAGCCTTCAAACTTAGGATGCTTCTAAATTAAAAATTTCATGTTTGAATTAAGCAGGTGCTGGGGGTTGTAGATGGTAGCTTGCAATTTTAGTACCATCAATCAAACGGAGCCAGCACCATTGACAATTCCTCTGTTTTGGGTGTTCTTTAGGTATTCTGATTTTCTCTATTTCATAAGATGAACACCCTCATTGAGGCGAGTGGAATGCCCACACGGATGTATTTATGTCGAGGAATGTTTAAACCTTTTAAGCTCAATAACTTATGAACAATTTCACCCAAAGCCTTCAAGATTCATAGGATCATCACTGTCAATGAGTAAAGGACTGTTATTTTTTGTGTGATTTTTTATAGGCCCCAACTGGGTAACCTTGTTTAACCCGTAATAGGTATGAGAGGGTCTGGTCATCCCTCTTATACGGTAATACCTTACACTATTTATACAGTACATGTATATCACATGGTAATATTTACAATAAAAACATAATATACCTTATAATTTATCATATTACCAATATAATTGTTGACAGTATGCAAAAAGTCTTTTTTACAGTCATGTGTATGTTATTTTTAAAAAACAAAATTTAAAAGTAATTATTGGTGAACCAGTGACTTCCATAGCAACCATTGATTTTCCATAGCAATCGTGACTTTTCATGGCAACCAGAGACTTCCAAAGCAGCCAGTGACTTCCCACAGCAACCAGTGACTCACAGCATACATTGACTTTCCATATCAACCATTGACTACTTTAGCACCCAACTACTTGCCATAACAACCAGTGACTTTCCATAGCAACCATTGGCTTTTTCCATAGCAATCAGTGCCTTTCCATAGCAACCAGTGACCAATATTGCAACCATTCAGTTTCCATAGCAATCATTGACTTCCATAGCAATCACTAACTTTCCATAGCAACCAGTGACTTCCATAGCAAGCAGTGACTTTCCATAGCAAGCAGTGACTTTCCAAAGCAACCATTGACTTCTGTGGGAACATTTCCATAGCAACCATAATGGCTTGCCATAGCAACCAGTGCCTTCCCATAGCAATCAGTGACCAATATTGCAACCATTCACTTTCAATAGCAATCACTGACTTCCATAGAAACCACTTACTTTTAGTATCAGCCATTGATCCATGGAAACCAGTGACTTCTTTTGCAACCATTGACTTCCATAGAAACCACTGAATTTCCAAAGCATCAGCAATCATTGACTTCCATAGCAAACAGTGACTTCAAATAGCAATTACTGACTCTAATATAAGCAACCATTGACTGTTTGTAAATATGGAATTAACATGTTTTGACTTCATTCAAAGTATATAATTATACACACTATAGGTATGAATATATAGTGTCATTAAAAAAGAACATGGCTTCTAATACATAGTTAATTATTTTTAAAATATTTTACTGTAAACATTATCTTTAATTGTTGATATAATTATACTGTCCTAGGATGATAATTTGGTCTTAACGGTACATGGGAAAGTCCAAAAACGGGGTTATCTGGATTATTATCCAATATCGTAAAAGTAAACACTTACATATACTATATAGCATAATTCTTAAAGTATCGTTTTTGTAATTACCGTTATGGCTCTGTCAGTAGACCGAAATTATTGTAACATTTAGTGTTTTGTACTCATAAGTTCGAACCCTACGTAGTGCCATTTTAAAACCACAGTTTTTCCTTCTTGCTCTGTTCTTTTTATCATTAGAATTATTTTTTTATTTTTCGTTTTCCTTTTTGTTTTTTTCTTATAATATATATTTTATAGTATATATTTATTTATTTTCATTTCTATTCTTTTTTCTTTTTGTATTTTTTGATCGCAGTGTAATAAAATATTCGATCTCATATTCATATATATTCGTAACTATGTATATGAAAAAAAAACGGTCAAACTTGTTTTCTGAACAATTGAGTGTTCTGAGGTAAAAAAAAATGTGTCGTACTAGTAGTCAAACTTCTGCCTGTACGGGTAAAACATTACTGACACGGTTGCTCTACCTACTTCGCTAACAAGACATATGATAACATGCAGTTTTATTTTCATTTTTATAGGTTGTGGCATTGATCTGCCTAACCTATTTTTATGCCACCGCAGCATCTGCGATGCGGTGGCATATAGCGATTCACCTGTGTGTGTGTTTGTTTGTGTGTGTGTGTGTTATATAGGTTATATATAGTGAACTTCAAAAATCTTCTTGTGAAAAACCACTAGTCCAATTTCAACCAAACTTGGCAGGATTGATCCTTGGGTGAAGGGCTTCCAAAGTTGTTCAAAGAATTTCATTCCATGCAGAAATCTGGTTGCCATGGCAACCAAAAGGGATTATAAGAATAAATTTAAAAAATCTTCTTGTAAAGACCCAAAAGGCCTAGAGCTTAGATATTTTGCATAAAGCATTGTCTGGTAGACCTCTACCAATATTGTTCAAATTATAGCCCTGGGGTCAAAATCGGCCCCGCCCCGGGGTCATTGATTTTAACTATATGTACATATAGTAAAAACTTAAAATACCTTCATGTAAATACCCAAAAGGCCTAGAGCTTAGATATTTTGCATAAGGCATTGTCTGGTAGACCCTTACCAAGATTGTTCAAATGATAGCCCTGGGGTCAAAATCGGCCCCGCCCCGGGGGTCATTGATTTTCACTATATGTACATATAGTAAAAACTTAAAATACCTTCTTGTAAAGACCCAAAAGGCCTAGAGCTTAGATATTTTGCATAAGGCAGTGTATGGTAGACCCTTACTAAGATTGTTCAAATGATAGCCCTGGGGTCAAAATCGGCCCGGCCCGGGGGTCATTGATTTTCACTATATGTACATATAGTAAAAACTTAAAATACCTTCTTGTAAAGACCCAAAAGGCCTAGAGCTTAGATATTTTGCATAAGGCATTGTATGGTAGACCTCTACCCAGATTTTTCAAATTATAGCCCTGGGGTCAAAATCGGCCCCGCCCCGGGGGTCATTGGTTTTCCTTATATGTATATAGTAAAAACTTATAGTAAAAACTTTAAAAAAAAAATTTCTAGCAATTGACAAATGCTAGAGGTTAGATATTTTGCATGAAACATTGTGTAGTGATATCAGCTGACCTAGATTTTGACAAAGTGTCTAACTGTGTTGTCCTTTGATGTAGTCATGAAATTAATAGGCTGTGTGAAATATGACCTTCACCACCAAATTCACCAGACTCAAGTGCATTGATATATTCCTACTCTGATCTTTTATTGGATTAACAATAGATTTAACCACTAATCTGATAATAAGAATTAGATAGGTCAGGGATCTATGCATTATGACAATCTTCAATTGCATAGAAACAAAAAAAAATCTGTTCCTACACTACTATTTAGTGTTGTATTAATGCGGTGGCATAGCATTTTTCTCAAATGCAATCTTGTTCACATTGTTATTGGTCTTTGTTATGTAAACAAAGGCTCAAGTTATCATCCTAGGACAGTACAATGACCCATCAAACCAAATACTTTTTCTATTTTTGCTTTGCTTGGCAATCTATCTTGTTGCCATTATTGAACCCTGTTTATACAAATATTTGAAGGCAAGCAATTAATTTTCTTATTCAAAGCCAAATCTTGAAGTTTGTTGAATTGCATATGTACTACAGTGGCGGATTCAGGCCCGGGCTTCAGGGCTGCAGCCCCCCCCCCCCCCCCCCCCCAGCTCGACCCAAAGATACGTTTACAAGCTGGGCTGGAATATATTTTTGTCAGTTTCAAACTTTATTGGCTGTTACAAGTGTACTCCCTTATCAAAACATTAATTGCTGTCAGTCAGTTGTTAATCTCCTGCCTGGGGGCTTGGCAGAGATCTTTATCTATCAACATGCTTGAATGACTTCAATGTTTAAACTGCATAATTGATTGGTTTATTACTTTCCAAAGGTCTAATGAAATCAATAGTCACTGATAGTGGCAAATAGATGTGTTACAGTGTGCACCATATTTTACTATCTTTGTTTTTCCAAACCCTATTATTAAGAAATTGAAAATTATTATTTGTAAACTTAAAAGATGGCGAGTTTTATAATGATGATATTAAAGGATTCACGTTTTAATCACTAGTTATATTAAGATTTTTATTTAAATGATATAATTGGTCATTTGCTATTAATAATTTTTTATGGCAGTTATATTTTTAAATAGAATTTAAATTGTACTGACCTCTTTAGTATCTAAAACGGATTCATTGATGGGAAAAAATTCTTATTGAATACTTTGATTGATTGATTGATTTTCTTAAGACCGGGCGGTCAAGGATAACCTACGAAAGTGCAAGCACTTATTTCCAGTAGGGTCCTTACCTCAGCAGACACTAGAGACAGCTATGAGATACAAGGAAATCCGGGAACCAGTCCCTAGCTCTTATTGAATAGATTCCTTGGTTCTTTTACATGCCCAGTGTATAGCACTGATACATGCGAGGATTACCTGGGTTTCGTACTAGTATTTAATTATTTTTTTTTAGTTCATTACGAAGGCAGTATTTTAATATCACTTTACTTTGGAAAATCGTCTATTATTCAGATGAGTAAATTGATCAAGTGCTTGATTTATTTTTATCAACAGTTGTGCATACATTGTTAAGTGTTCTGATATTTTGTAAATGCTCACTACTTAACACCAGGGGAATTCTTTTTGAAAGACCCTGCAAACACTAACCTATACAAAATACATTGTTTTGTAAAACCGTCCAAAAGGTACAATAACAGCACTAGAAAGTCAAGGAAATAACACCATTTTCAACCTCATATTTCAAAATTTTCTCGGTCTATGGGAGGGGACACCCCTCCCATGCCCACCCAAATTACATATATATTTCTAATTTCCATATCATCTAAATATTTACAAAAAACATTAGTATACTCATATATATGTATATAAGGAAAACGCATCGCCACTCATAAGATGAACTATAAAACACACCAATTACATTTTTTGTCACATGAACAAGATGCTGGCCCAATCTTCAATTTTCGCTTTTCGCCTGTTGCATTATGTTTGTCAAATTCGTCCACCCATATGACAGACCCCCCTGCCCCCCCCCCCCCCCCCAGGAAACCATGTTCTGTATCCACCCCTGTGTACACTATTATTTGCACAGGAGTTTGGTGTATCTGATGGTCACAACCCCAACCCCTCTACAACTCCCAACCCCTTTCCAAAACAGCTTAAACTGTACTATTTATCATGTTAAAAGTGCTTAAATAAATAAATAAAAATATTCAGATGCAGCATCATATTGCAGTTAATTTTTTCTGACATTTAGTAGTGTTCAACTATTTTTAAATTACAACGTGTTAAAAAAAACAAGTATGGCTGCCGACGACATCCACGTCAGGCTATGTCTACAAGAAATTGTGAAATTAGACCTTAAAGTTAAAGCGTATATACAGGTATGTATTTTAAAATGTATATATATTTATATGTTTGATAACTTAAAAATTTTATAAGATGTTATTCAGTTGAATTTGCGGTAGACATGTGAATTTATTGTGACATAGTCTCCGGATGAGCTAGACTTCGGATGTATCTGCCAAAAAAAGGTTAAAATGGCGTCATCGAATTTAAACCAGTGAAAAATTTTTCGGGCCCCGTGAAAATTTTTAAAAAAAAAATTGAAGAAAAAAAGAGAAAATTTTTCAAATGGGAATTCCCTAATGTAATTTTTTTTATAATAAACAAGAGGTTTTTAAAAAAGGGGATTTTAAAATAAATTGATTTTTTAAATAGCAAAAAAATTTAAAAGGGGCGGTGTCCTTTCCCCCCCCCAAAAACCCCTCTTTCCACCAAACTTGCCACTGTGCCTGGCAAAACCTGGGAAAAAGGCCTTATTGTAAAATAATGTTTTAATAAAACCTCTTTTTTGTTAAAATAATTTAAATAACCTAAAATTTATTTCTTTTAAAATTTCGAACACACGCGCCCACTCAGTATAAAAGATAACCAAACGCATATGTATAAACATTATTGAATGCTGCTACTGTCATTACGGAATTGATTCATTAAATGCGTTTGGTAAAGTTTTATACCTGCATGACATCATTTGAGTTATATATAAACATTGTGTAAAAGAGCACATTAATGTTAACATTTCACTATAGAGGCATGAATAAAAAATATATGACTGTTTTTACCTGTGAACTGTTCTTATTTTGGATGTTTGTGATAAAAAGAATTATATTTGTGTAGATTCAATACTAAATTTATTGAACTTGTGGAATAAAACAATATTATTCAACTCGTTCAATTATTTAATATTAAATTTACACTCATTTGATATCCTCTATATAGATATATATAATGTAAAAATTATAGACATTGAAATATGATTTTTTTTCAAAACAAATATATTAAGTTGTATTGATATAATTATATGATATGATAAAGTATATTATCTGCTGGGGTTGACAAATATACATTTGGATCTCCACACCCAAAGTGTCTCTGATTTCAGGCAGTGTTATAGGCCACATCCCACTGGGTAACAACCAATACCCAAGTTAATCCCTCCTCAAGTCAACCCAGCTCGAAGTTTTGTCAATCTGGCTCCAAAATTGGTAAATTTGTCCATACAATATTATTTTATTTGTCAATCTGTTATTTTCTTCCTTGTGCATAGTAAAAAAATGGTAAAGTTATCATACAGTTGGAATCCCAAGATTACTTTGTATGTTTCCATAGATTTAATGTTGTTGTTTTTGGAGCTGGATGTGGGAGGGGGTCAGAGGCTCCGTGAGTCACATCATTGTAAAAGTGCCATATTTGTTTAGGCTAGGCTTATGTGACTCAGTTATGGCTTGAAGTTTTGGTTAGCAGTACAGGCAAGCAACTTCCTTTTTGTTGTTTTTTTTCTAGAAATACAAAAAAATTAGATCAAGCAACTGTTGGAAAAACTGCTGAGAAATATGAGGCAAATTTGATTTTTAAGCAGATACATAGGTAGAAGTAGAATAAAATTCAAAAATACAAATTGTTATCATAATTGTCTTTAACAACTCCCTTTTTATTATATATATATATATACAAAGTATGTTCATCTTCAAAATTCTATCAAACATTTGTCTCATATTTCTCAGGTTGTGAAAGTGGATCATTGATGTTAATAAAGTGAAGGTTCAAGTGTTTTGGAGTACATGATGAAACTAGCAGCATTTCCAGTCTACTGTTTGTCAGGTGGTGTTCTTATTGGAGCAGTTCTGACACAATTGCTTTATGTGTTCATGCCAGATTTCCCAAATTTTGCCTATTGGTATAAAAATGCAAATTTGAAAGGGCCAGACACAAAAATTGTCATTGGAATTCTTTCAGCAAGGGAAAACTTTCATGCAAGGCAATCTATTAGGGAAACATGGCTTCATGGAGCTCAAGAAGATGTGATATATAAATTCATTGTTGGGAAAAAAGGTTGTGAAATAAATCCTAGAAATAGAAAAGATGTGTATTCATGTGATGTGTTGAATTTCACATATAACAGCCATAAAATTCAAGATAATCCTAATTTCCCTCTTCTTTCTTTGGTTAAATTTCATGAGTCTAACAAGGAGTTAAATACAGACAATCTACATATTGTTTGGAATGCTTCAGTCATTATCAGACATCCAGTGATAGTGAAGAGGATAGGTTTGCTTTCAGCAGTGGAATTATCAGAAAAGCCTGTCACTGTGCAGCTGTATGATGAAATAAGAGAGGAAGTTGTGCTCTCCACAAGATTTAGTGTACTTGATCAGGGGATAATCGATGGAGCTAACACAAATTTTGAAACATACAGATTCCAGCCTGTTAGTCAGGTTCTTCTCCCAAAAGATTACGAATGCACATTGAGAATTCTTTCAAGTGAAAATATAAATATTAAACAAGGTCCATTTGGTAAACTAAAATCATATTCAATAAATAATTCTGGCAGAACCGTAGAGCTGTTACCTTTAGATGATAAAGGTTTTGTTATGTATGAATTTGAAAACAAACTGTTTATTGGAAACCTTATCCTCTCTGTTGATGATTTAGAACAATTGAAAATGATGCAGAAAAATCAAGCATTGTTTGATGAAGAATATAAAATTGTTCAGGAAAAGGTTGGCCATCAATTGGAGGAAGAAAAACGCAAATATGATGACATATTGTTTGTAGAGGTTACAGATGTGTACCGTAACCTTCCACTTAAACTGTTACAGTTTCATCAGTGGGTTTCCATGGAAATAAAAACACATTTTGTTATGAAGACTGATGATGACTGCTTTGTGGATATTGAGAGAATATTGACCATGCTGGACGCATTATCAAGGACTAATACTGGTAAAATTTGGCTGGGAAATTTCAGGGAAAACTGGTTTGTGGAAAGATTTGGGAAATGGGCAGAAAAAGTGTTCCGTTCAACAGAATATCCTCAGTTTGCCTGTGGATCTGGAAATATTGTTTCTAAGGATATCAGTGATTGGTTGGCTAGGAATGCAGGTGTTTTGTTTCCATATCAAGGAGAGGACACTTCAATGGGAATATGGTTAAGTGCAATAGGTCCGAAATACTGGGGAAGTAAGAAATGGTTGTGTGATAAAGAATGCCATAATAATGCTTTTGTTATACCACAATTGTCTGTTGTGGAGATGAGATCATTTTGGGAGAGTAAACAGAAATGTGGCAATATTTGTGGATGTCTGTGAATATTTTCTTTAATTATGCAGTACACACTGATGTTTTTTTCAGTGACAATTACATTTACTTTTAGAAAATCAAGTATATTTACAATGAATTGAATATGGAAACTAAACAGTAATGTTCATAGTGCAGCCTGTCGTGATTACAATGTAATAAAGTTATATACTGTAAATTATTTATCAAAAATGTTGTGACAATAAGAAGCTAAATGCACTGCAGTTTACTATGTACATGTGGATTGTTATCAACTTGAACCAAAGTGGGAAATTCAAAGAATAAGAGAGTACATGTATATAATGTAGAATGTCAATATACATGTAGGTACTTATGTGCATATAAGTTGGAAATTACAATAATGACATCTGGGATACAAATTTAGGAAGTCATTTCATAAAAGGTAAAAACAAATGGTGATTCTTTTCATTCAATATAAACACCAAGTACAACTAATTATACTGTCACTGCTGGTTTTTATATATCCTTTCGACGGCCATCGCTATAACCGTAGGACGGCCAAAGCGTATCGAATTTTTACATTTCTGAAAGCCAGTCTTATATTACGACAGACGTCCATAGCGTAGTTAAACGTATCAAAAATATACCTTTCTAGAAACCGTAGCGTAAATCAGCGTAAAACTTGAATTTTGTTTCATGCAACCCCGTAAAAACCTCGTTTTCGTTCATTCTGGTTTTTTTTAATGTGTTTATGAAAATCGAAATATTACGCTATGGCTGTACAACTGCATATGATAAACAACAAAGCCATACCGTATAACACTGTTAATATTACGTTCAACTGCAATAAACAGACTCACAATCCTTGTTTTTTAGCTCGACTTTTCTATGAAAAGGGGAGCTATCCTACTCGCCCCGGCGTCGGCGTCACACCTTGGTTAAGTTTTTCGTACCACCCCACTTTATTTCAGAAGTATTACAAGTATGGCTTTGAAACTTACCATACTTGTTCACCATCATAACCTCCATCTACAGACAGGAGTACATAACTCTGTCAAGGTTTTTGACAGAATTATGGCCCTTTTTTGACTTAGAAAGTGTATTGAGCTTGGTTAAGTTTTTTGTACCACCTCACTTTATTTCAAAACCATTGGAGGTATTGCTTTGAAACTGACCATACTTGTTTACCATCACGACCTTCATCAACAGACAAGAGGACATAAATCTGTCAAGGTTTTTGACAGAATTATGCCCCTTTTTGACTTAGAAAATACATTGAATATGGGTAAAATCCACTTATTGCCTTAACCCTTTGAGATATTGCTTTGAAACTTTTAATGCTATTTCACATCATTACCCCCATCTGTACGCAAGAGAAGGTAACTCTGTCAGGGATTTGTTTTAAAAATTAAGGCCTTTTATCGACTTAGAATCTTGGTTAACTTTTTTGTACCAGTCAACTTTTTGACTGAACTGGTTGAGATATTAAATTGAAAGTTGGAATACTTGTTTACCATCATGGTCCCAAAACATGGGCAGGAGAAGGTAATTCTGTTAAGGATTTTATTTGAATTATGGCCCTTTTTGACTTAGAAACTCAGTTAAAATTTTCATTCTTGTCCACTTGTTGACTTAACCATTTGAGATATTACTTTGGAAGTTGGAGTTCTTATGTGCCATCATGAGACCTATCTGTAAGCAAGAGAAGATAACTCTGTGAAAATGTTTCTTGATTTGTACTTAGAAATTCCTAGTTAAAGTCTTGTGTGCCCTTAACTGTCAAAGTTTTGTTTTATAGGCAAGCACTAAAAAAGTCGAGCGCGCTGTCCTTCTGACAGCTCTTGTTAAAACAAGTTCTGAACGTTTTAAAACGGTAAATTTTACGTTATTTACCTACATGTATATAGCCCATTAAAATACCATGTTGAGTAAAACGTCCACAACGTTTAAAACTTTATTATTGAAAATCAATGAAAATCAATTTTTCTCAGGAAGGGTGATTGATACATAGAGGATATTGAATGAGTGTAGTTTAATACTAAATTTATTGAACGAGTTAAATAAAATCATATTATGCGAGCCTCTGGCGAGCATAATATTGTTTTATTCAACAAGTTCAATAAATTTAGTATTGAATCTACACGAATATAATATTCTTTTTATCACATACATAAAATAAAAACAGTAAACTGTTAAAATGAGTTATTTTTCAACGACGCGTTTATAGTGTAATGCTAACATTAGCCCGCTTTAACGCTATGTTTATATATAGCGCAAATGACGTCACGTCAAAGTGTTATTACACTAGTGTAATATCGTTTTTATTAAATGGCTTTATTACACTCCTGAGTCGCGGTTTATGTGATAATATGCTTTTCAACGTGAATTTTGTAAGTTCAACTCATTTTTGTTTCAAATTACAGAAACTCTGTTTGATGTATCAATAAATCTTAATGCATTTTAAAATACTATACCATTTAGAAGATTTTCTTCAATTAATTTGGATATCGATTTGATTACCACATTATTAAAAAGTGTACTGTATATCTAAACATTTACTATATCTGTCAATAAAGGGCACTATACAATTAACATATTTGGTATTTTTATTTGAACAACATTTAACAGAATGAAATAAATGAAAGGTAAACTTCAAGAATTTAGTCATTTAAAACTAAATTTTGGTGGCTTTCAGGAAGCTAAAATTTTATACCGGTTTATTACGTTATAGCCTTCTTATGACTATAGCGCCCGGCTTTTGAGAAGTCGATTTTTCGGTACGTTTTATTGCGCTATGGCCATCGAAAGGATATGGACTTCATTTAATTTGTTCAAATAATAAAATATAACTTACAACTAAAATGAATTTTTCTAAGTTTTATATCAAAATCATTCCACTAGATATGTTAGTCTGTATTTTTTTTTTAAATAAACAATGAAAAACAATATTTAAAACATATACACTAATATGTATTATGTAATTTAAAATATAAATATTCAATATTAATATGAAGGGTATATCAATTTAGAGAATTTTAAATGGCAAATATAAAGATATACTATGTTCATCTTTGGTTTACATACTTTTATTGCAGAAATTTATTGAAATCTAGGAAATTCAAAATGAAAACATATAATTTGAACAGTGGAATGCATAAAGTATGTTTGGGAAGTTTCATTCCCTATTATTTTATTTCTTCAACAATTTAGATATCATTAATGTCCAAAAGGCAAAAATGATGAGTAAAATAAAGATAATGATGGCATGAACACAAATTTCAATTATTGCATTATATATTATTGTAGGATAATAATTAAGTGGATTCATAGTTTGTTAATTAAACTTAGATATATTTAGGGTTGCTTATGAATTGAAAATGATGCCCATCTCGTTTATAATAAGCAATAAAGTTCCAAATATGTGTAACTTTGTGTATCAAATAAGTACAAGTACATATATTTGTTTTTATATCAGGACATCAGAGACAGTAAAGATATTGAAGAACTAGAAGATCTGAACAGTAAAGCTAGAAATGTATTGAATCAACTGAAAACTAAAATCCAGGTAAACAAGTCTGTTGTTGATGGTTTTAATGATTGATGTAACAGTAATAAGCAATTATGTATACTAAAATAACAAAATAATACAGAACAGAACATACATGTATAACAAAATTATATAGCGAAGGTATATTCGAATTGGCTAGAAACTTTCTAGAGTCAGTTTTAGTTATGAAATTTTAGCATTGTGAAAAATTGCATACATTTTGTACTTGACATTGTATATAATTCCTTACAAGTGGAAAATTTGGAGCTGTTTTGATAAATGGTTTGGTGACGCTTAAATATTTTATTATTTACATATACATGTACATGTAGTTTATTTTTAGTTTTCGTAAACACATTTGTATGCTATTTACATGTACAACATTTTTAAATGTTTTAGAGGAAAGCTTAATATTTACAGATTGACATTTCAGTAATATCAATAAATACATGTATACAGTAACCTGTTGTAATAATGGTAAATGATATATGATTTAAACAAATAACCTCTATAATATGAAGTCACATATATTCTATTTATGGTTATATTATATATGTATTATATGTTTGTATAGGATCTGGAAAGACTTGGGAAGGAACAGGATAGGGAGGAAGACAGACAAGTCATCTTGAAAAACGTGGAAAATCATCGCCAAAGAATGACTACGTAATTTTCTACAATATTTACTTGATTTATTTTGTAATGTAATATATACATTTCCTATTATAAGCGAGTCTACATGATACCATTTTCAAAGCATATTGAATCTTAATGGTACAAATGTCAGCCTGTCAAACAAAGGCTTTGTGGGATTTAGACTAAATGTGAAGCAAGACAAAACCAGTGCTGGTTTATCCATTGAGAGCGCTCTTTGCTTTAATCATAATCAAGCTAATATTATATTTATAATATGTGCATAATTATAATAAAGTTATTAACAAAACAAAATATCTGTACAATACTGTTGTCCAGTTATTATACAGTAAAGTTATTAACAAAACAAAAATAATCTGTAGAATATTGTTGTCCAGTATATACATATAAATTATGTTTTGTCATTATAAATTTTCAGCAACATTGCATCATTACGTAAGACCAACTTAACAGTGAAAATATCAATAGACAAACAAGAGAAAGATGAACTTCTTACTGGTGGAACAACGAGGAAACGGTAAATAATTTGCTCCGTTTTGTTGATAGGTTTTTTTAACAACAAATATCTAGAATGGACTTGTCCATCTTTCAATTGAGACAAAACCATTCATCATTTTGAGGGAAAATTTCAAAATAAGTTCTGACTAAAAGCTAAGACCAGATTGCATAATGTGCCAGCTGATCTTGGTCTGTACTTGGTAAAATCTGTTGTTGCTAACAGGCTATGGTTTGATTACATCTGACAACTCTGTTAATGTCATACAGATATTTTCCTGGTGCCATATAGATTAAGATCAGCATTAAAGTTAAAAGTCTACAATTTTAAACATTCTGCCTTGCAGGACAATTGAAAATGTGTACATATATGAAAATCTTAAGTTTTCTTTATCTTTCTAATATGAAATGATTGGCATTTTTTTTGCCAAGAATATATGCAAATAATCTAAAATGTTATGATGGATCATAATGATCATGATTTTCATCTTCATGCATTTGGTAAAAAAAGGGAAATTTTTTATTATACCCCCAAAAACGAAGTTTGGGGGGGTATATAGGAGTCACCCGGTGGTCGGTTGGTCGGTCGGTCGGTCGGTCCAGACGTCCGTTGCATTTTCCTTGTCCGGACCATAACTTGAAGACTAATGGTTGGAATTCAATATAACTATATACAATGGTCAAGCACATTGAGAGGAAGTGCAGTGCACAAGAACCATAACTCTATCTTGACTAATTACAGAGTTATTGCCCTTTGTTACTTTTCCTTGTCCGGGGCATAACTTGAAAACTACTGGTTGGAATTCAAAATAACTTCATACAATTGTCAAACACAATAAGGGGAAGTGCAGTGCACAAGAACCATAACTCTATCTAAAGTAATTACAGAGTTATTGCCCTTTGTTACTTTTCCATTGCTTTCTTTTGTCCGGACCATAACTTTAAGACTAATGGTTGGAATTCAATATAACTACATACAAATGGTCAAGCACATTGAGAGGAAGTGCAGTGCACAAGAACCATAACTCTATCTTGACTAATTACAGAGTTATTGCCCTTTGTTACTTTTCCTTGTCCGGGGCATAACTTGAAAATTACTGGTTGGAATTCAAAACAACTTCATCCAATTGTCAAACACACAGTATAAGTGTGAAGTGCAGTGCACAAGAACCATAACTTATCTAAAGTAATTACAGAGTTATTGCCCTTTGTTACTTTTCCATTGCTTTCTTTTGTCCGGACCATAACTTGAAGACTAATTGTTGGAATTCATTATAACTTCATACAATGGTCGAGCACATTGAGAGGAAGTGCAGTGCACAAGAACCATAACTCCATCTTGACTAATTACAGAGTTACTGCCCTTTGTTACTTTTCCATTGCTTTTTTTTGTCTGGAGCATAACTTGAAGACTAATGGTTGGAATTCAATATAACTTCATACAATGGTCAAGCAAATTGAGAGGAAGTGCAGTGCACAAGAACCATAACTCCATCTTGACAAATTACAGAGTTATTGCCCTTTGTTACTTTTCCTTGTCCAGAGCATAACTTGAAAACTACTGTTTGGAATTCAATACAACTTCATACAGTTGTCAAGGACATTAAAAGGAAGTGCAGTGCATAAGAGCCATAACTCCATTTTGACAAAATACAGAGTTACTGCCCTTTGTTACTTTTCCTTGTCTGGAGCAGAACTTAAAACGTACTGGTTGAAATTCAAAACAACTTCATACAATGGTCAAGCACAAAAAGAGGAAGTGCAGTGCACAAGAACTATAACTACATCTTCAGTATTTATAGAGTTATTGCCCTTTGTTCCTTTTCTTTGTCTTTCTGGACTTATTACAGAGTAATTCAATAAAACTTCATCAATGGCCAACCACATTGAAAGGAAATGCAATATACAACAACCACAACTACCTTTAATTGCCCACAACCATAACTCTATATTTCAATTCTTTTACAAGGTATTCTGTTACTAGTTAAACATCCTCATTTCCGAAGCAGTCTTGTGGGGGTATTAATCACATTTAGTGATAGTTCTAGTTTTATTTTGTGTGTAAAGAAGTTACAATATTTATTGCAGAAATATTAACACAAAGGAGTCATTAGCGAAGTCGGCCAATCGTATTACAGAGAGTTTAATGGAACTCAACCAAACAATGGATGCCCAAGTCAAAAAAGGAAACTTTACTCTCACAGCCTTGGGTAACTTCCGTTGATATATATAATAAAGCGTCTTTGTGGTTGATTGATTTATGTTGTTAACTCAAAATCATTTGCCCCTCAAATCCTGCATGCGACTTTGAAATCTTTCATGTCAGGAAGGCAGCAGAATAGTTTATTAGTCATTTGTTCAACTCAGATGCCTGAACAATTACGCAAGAGGGCACCTGTAAAGTTTGAAAGTCTCTATATGATGGTGTTGATGTGACTTAAAAATTCCCCAAAGTAATTTTGATAGTTTCATAATTAACAAGAGCCACCGCTGGGCGGGGAAAACGCTCGACTTTTTACTTTTTCTAAAAGCAAGCAAAGAAATGTTTTAACAAATCTTAACGTTTCCTTTTTGTGTCGCCTTGAAAAGGTGACATATAGGGGTTACTTTTGTCGGCGGCGTCTGTGTCGGCGTCGTTGTCGGCTTCCCCTAAAGCTTGTCCAGAGCATAACTCAGTCACTATAAGTCTGATTGACTTCAAACTTGGTATGCATGCTTCTTTCAATAACCCGAAGTGCAGTGCACAAGGACCGGTACTCTGCAGTTCTTATTTTTTGAGTTATTGCCTTTTGTTAATTTTCATACTTTAATTTTGTCTGGGCCATTTCTCTTCAACTAAAAAAGCTATGGACTTGAAACTTCATAGTATGATAGATCTCATTAAGAAGAAGTGCAGTGCACAAGAACCGGTACTCTGCACTTCCTAATTTTTGAGTTATTGCCCTTTGTTAATTTTCATACTTTATTTTTGTCCGGGCCATTTCTCCTAATGTATAAAAGCCATGGACTTGAAACTTCATAGGATGATAGGTCTCATTAAGAAAAAGTGCAGTGCACAAGAACAGGTACTCTGCATTTCTTATTTTTTGAGTTATTGCCCTTTGTTTATTTTCATACTTTAATTTTGTCTGGGCCATTTCTCCTTAAGTATAAAAGCTATGGACTTGAAACTTCATAGGATGATAGATCTCATTAAGAAGAAGTGCAGTGCACAAGAACCGGTACTCTGCATTTCTTAATTTTTGAGTTATGGCCCTTTGTTTATTTTCATACTTAATTTTTGTCCAGGCCATTTCTTCGAAAGTATAAAAGTTATGGACTTGAAACATCATAGAATGATAGATCTTATTGATAAAAAGTGCAGTGCACAGAAACTGCTGCTCTGCACTTATTATTTTTTTAGTTATTGCCCTTTGTTATTTTTCATATTTCATTTTTGTCCTGGCCATTTCTCCTAAACTACTTTGTTCACAAGGCGACACATCCGACTCGCGGAGTTCTAGTTATAAATTTAATCGGTCTGTCTTTTCACATTAGTTTTGTCTATATATTTTGTATATATAAATATACTTATTTATATATATAAATAGAAACACGCAATGCATTCTATAAATAGATACACGCAATGCATTCTATAAATAGAAACATGCAATGCATTCTATAAATAGAAACACGCAATGCATTCTATAAATAGAAACACGCAATGCATTCTATAAATAGATACACGCAATGCCTTCTACAAATAGAAACATGCAGAGCATTCTATAAATAGATACACGCAATGCATTCTATAAATAGATACACGCAATTCATTCTATAAATAAATACATGCAATGAAGTATATTTCATTCTATAAATAAATACACGCAATGAAATATATATCGTCATTTAATGCACAAATCTGAGAAAATTCAGTAATTTAAACCTTCAAGGTCAAGGTCATTAAAGAGCCCAAGTCAATTTGGGTTTGATAAACACCAAGGTCTTGTCCTTAAGAAAGTCTGTTATAAGTTGATCCCTTCAATAATAGCAAAAATACAGCCAGTTACAGCCAAAACAATGAAAATTTCAATAATTTGACCTCCAAAGTCAAGGTCATTAATGATTGAAGGTCAAGGTCTGTCTGGTTATTTTTAAGGGTTATCCTTAAAGATTTTTATGTTCAAGTTTGAAGACAATCCATTCAAAAATAACAAAGTTACAGCCAATAATAACCAAAAAATGAAAATTTCAATAATTTGACCTTCAAAGTCAAGGTCATTTATGAGTGAAGGTAAAGGTCTGCCTGGTTATTTTTAAGGGATATCCTTGAAGATTATTATGTTCAAGTTTGAAGACAATCTATCAAAAAAAACAAAGTTACAGCCAATAATAGCAAGAACAAGCAAAATTTGGACTTTTAACCTTGAAGGTCAAGGTCATTTATGGATGAAGGTCAAGGTCAGTGTGGTCTACTGAAAGGTCTTGTCCCA